CTCATGTAACAGGTACTCGATCTTGTACGAATGAGTTTTTAATAAGGATGTGATTTCTTCTGGCTACATACGTCTGTTAAAATGTCGAGTCGTGTTAATTCGTACTTACAGTTAAGGTGAATAGGGTGGTCGACTGAATTTCGAGTTCGGAAAATGTCTAACTAGTAATAATAACTTATTATCGGATAACGATATGTTACACTAGGTACACCAGCTTTTAGACAGTTTCGGAATGTTACAAATATTACAACGCTTACCGCAATAAGTTACTCAGATTGATATACAACAAGACGCACGTCATAGAAACAGGAATAAATTTGTGTTCATAAGAAGATGGACAGTGTTAGTAAACCCAGATGTTCAATGCCATTTTCAGCGCACCCCATAGGAGCGGCGTTTTGACGAACAACCGGTGATCGAGAGTTAATGTTTCATGCTATCATCTAACCCTCGTTTTATTCACACAAGACAGACTAGTTATCGAATTGGTTCTTATTCAGATCGTTAGACTGAACACCGTGTGAAAGAGGTTCTCTCTCACAAACACAAAGTTTTCAACATTCAATTGCTTAGGAAGCATAAGGAAATAAATAAACACTTGAATTATAATGTGTTAACATTAACGACATATTTTCGACCAACTCTTAACCAACCAACTTAAGTTATAACAACAGCTTCCTCTTAGAATTCCATTAATTGATGATTCGACGAGAAAGTCAATAGTCAGCTGAAGATTAATTTGCTTTGAGCTTGTGAAATTTTTTAGTGCTCTCGTAAGTTCTGTTTTTGAAGTCTAGAAAAGTGAAGACATATCGGATGCAAATTTACCACTAGGTAATTAAAAAATTATGAGAGAGTCACCTCAGGCTTTTCTATATAACAATGGAGATAGGCTTAGGTTAGCTGTTCGAACATCACACGAGAGTTTTGCTATTCCGAAAATCAGCTTAACTGAAGTTCTTTGAATCGTTCCTAACAGTTCACTGTCTCTTTCTAGGTAAGAGCTATCCGCTTGTATTCAGTACTCGAGTTTATGACGAACAAATACTATATGGAAAGTCAAAAAAAGGTTTTAGCATCGACGTATCTAAATGTGCTACACATTGACCATACTGTTCTAAAACCCCTGGCGGCTGTCACACGTCAGTGTGCAGTAACTTTTTAAGTCTTGACTAACGATGACTCCGAAGTTATTGTATGTCTGGACAACAAGCGGCTCGTAGTTATTCACCGTGTACGTATTTGTACCTCGATGTTCAATACGCATCAAAATGCATTTGTAAGCATTTATAGGCTACTGCCAAACTTGGGATTAGTTAGATATTTTTCTAGGTCATTTTGAAGCTCTAAACTACCACCTTTAATTTTTATTGCTCTCCGTATATTGACTTTGTCAGCATATAACAAGACCGATGATGATAATAGAGGAGGAACTTCATTTACATACAGGTCGGACACCACTAGCACCAAAACTGTACCTTGAGGCACTCCGCTGAACACAGTTTCTCAATTAGAAAAATTTCTGTCCACACACACATTCATTGTTGACGCCCAACTAGGAAGTCCTTTATCCACAATAATAAATCGCCTCCAACACCTGTATCACTCAACTTATATAACAGCCGGTTGTATGGAACTTTGTCAAAAGTCTTGCTGAAGTCAACATAGGCCACGTCTATATGTAACTTTTGGTCTTTAAGAGCACAACAGCTTTATCGGGCTACTAATAGGTTAGTGAGACATGAATAGCCTGTGCTTAAGCCATGCTGATTTTTCAGGAAAAATCCAATTTTCGTCGAGTTACTAAAAAAACTTCTTCTGAGAAATCTCTTCTAAAATTCCAACAACCACGCCAGTTGGGCCTAAGAGTCCGTGGTTATCAGGTTACTGTATCGTATCTGTTTTGAAATTAGGACTTGAAATAGTCTTTAATACAGTCATTTTCAAACTAACCTTGGGTTGCTACAGACTTCGCTAATTTCTTTAGTAACCTAAGATGCATTTTATCGGGTCCCATAAATTTCCCTATTTCACATTCACTTAGCAGACCAAAGACATCGAGTTCTTTAATGGTCTCAGTGTCCAGTAAGTGTATAGGAGGGGTGTGCTTGAGCTGAAGGAGAGGGCATCTCTACGGCACATACATTGTTAAAGTAACTGGAGAATCTCTAAGCTCTACCATAATCGTCCTCCACTAATGACGTAGTACTAGTGTCTCCTCACAATACGGGAATATTTTCTCTTCTTTTACTCTTTCGGTTTGTCGACGAATGCAAGCTTTTAGGGTATTCTATGGATTCCTTAACAAGTCCTTCCTCATATAACCTTCTAGACATTCGGTGGGTCGATACACAAATATTTCATGCTTCCTCATATTGAGATTTTTCCCGTCAGTACTGAGTAAATTGATCAATCCCACATTCCAGAATAGCGAGAACCTCTTTACTGAATCACATTGGGGAGTTTCTTGAATCCCTTGGGATGTGTGATGCAGTGACTTTTATGTAAAAATTCTTAAATACATCCCAATTCGTTTCGGTGGAGGACCCTAGTTCTATGGACCAATCTACTAAGGGTACTAAGTGTATAATATCTTGTGTATTTGCTTTCCAAACGTTTGTTCTGACCTGATCAGACACATCCTTGTTATTGAAGGCTATATAGAAATCAAAAACTGGGATAGTTTGGTCAGTTTTACCTAGGGATGACACATAATGGAGCTTTGTCAAGTCATCCTCATAATGAGTCAGTTGGAGATCTGGTGAGGATAATTCTAGTCCGTGTCGTGCCTAGTCACGTCTTTCATATGTTGCACTAGGGCACATGTGATAACCCCGTCAAATAGTTTCTTTTCGAAAGAATTTTCTGACAACTCAGTCCTCGGACTTTTCCAGCCTGCCGTATATGAACCAAAGTCCTTTAAAATTTTATCAAATAAAAAGTGTCAGTTCGATTTCCACGGCCTAATACAGAATTACTGAAGGAAATGTACAGTTATGAGTTATAAATGTTCTGTTGCATACAAATATTTAGTCTCCAGAAAGTACTGGTTATCCGTGCTGTTATTGATAGAGTCCACTTTTTGGATCTATGTTAAATACCCACAAAATTTTTTTGATGCTTCCAGTTAATTCAATCATTTATTCTTAGATTGGCGGAGGAATTTCCTCAGGCGTAACTTGTTCACATCACTCACCTCAGTCGAAGATTCCCCACCCTCCGGACTTGTGTATCTGTTCGGGTTGTTAAACAGTGAATCGCTTATGTACTTAGTATAAAGACGAATACAACACTCATACATCAAAAGTAAAAAAATGTGGGTAAAATATCACTGGAAACTACTATTAGTTTGGTACAAGTGTTTTCTTCTTTTTCAAAAAAGGATGAAGCGACACGCAAAAATATTTAATTTGTTTTCATTGTTTGAATATACAAAAAACTAAAAAAGCAAGATGTTAGTGCATATAGAGTTACATTTCAAGAATCAGACAAAACTGCTGACATAGCTGGTCGAATAAACGGTTATGCACATTTAACCTTTCAGGTTACCTGTGGAGAATTCTCACTGTTACTTGTAAATCCTGTAATTGTTCTGTCAGATAAGCAATCTAGTAACACATGTGTTTGTTTTTGTAGAACGAAATATTTAGGTCTTCTTGAGATGGCTTTGTATGGATCTACGAATGAAGGACTATGTGATACTTTTGCTTTGTTATATCTTGTCCAGACATGCTTTCAAAGGCCTAAATCCTTGAGTATACATATAGCTTGCGACTATTAACGGTTACCAAGCGGTTATATTTGAACAACTGGTCATTTGATTGTTTGACGTGGTTTAGTAGGTCAAGATTTTTACTTCCAACACAAGGATTGATAAACTCCCGCTAAAATCTTAGACTGATTCTGCTGTCGAACACTGTAAACCAGTTTTGACGGTTGTTCGTAATCCAAATGTAACTGCAGTGGCCTACTTTTATCAAGAGAACGCGAATGGTGTAATGGAAACAATTATGATTATAACCAATTGTGCCAATGATAGTTTTGCCGTACTTGTTTGTTTAACTGTGCCAAAATACAAACGTTCTTTCTCTGATTGTGACCTTGCACGAATTCGGTTACGCTCAGTAACTACAATTGTAACCTGTCACGATCTCGGTATTCTTTCGGTACCACGCCATCGTCAACGGATACATCTCTACTACAGCCATCAACTGCCTTTTGGTATTTGGTTTACGGGGGATTTTATCGGTTAACTGGCATGTATTCTTTTTTGTAGTGGCGATCATAGTCAACCGCGACTCGACGCCACACTACACAACCAACAACGGGACTTTTGTCTACTGACTAGGGTTTGAGTATGATATTAGGACAGTTTTTAACTGACTGTAGAAAAGCCCCACCATCCCATCAACCTGAGGACGATATTCTGTGCGCCATTAATTGTTGAGGCCTAGAAGTTCAGATAAGTTGTGGGCTCTTTTACCAGTCGTTTGTGTACCACGTGTAACAAAAACGATAATTCAATTCTGAATGAAAACTTTGACCTTTGTTTCAGTTATGATGCTGATTATCGGTGTGGTTATTATAAAACTCATGAATATATCCATGCGGGCAAATAGATTAATAAAACCACTAGAAGGTGTTAAGGTACCTTTCAGGCCGGTGGTTACCTCTCGTTTTTTTATAGGAGAGACTCATGACTCGCTATGTATGTGAAACGTGAATTCCAACAGAAACTAAATATCAAATGTCACCAGTTAGCTCTGATACTGAGAAACTCCTTACTTTTTTTTAAAATAGACAATACTTTGTGGTATAACACGTATACAAGCACAGAATACAACTCTACAAAATTAAACAGTCAGTGGGAATATACAAATAAATATATAACAGAAGGCAAGAAACCCGGTTAAAATACATCACCTACTCTTCATGAAAGCCTGTAGTTGATCCTGAACAGTATTTTTTCGCCATTTCAACTAGAAATTCCGCAGACTGACTTGCATCAGCCCAATCATCTGGAGGAGGTAGTAAATTTATGTTCGAACCAACTTCATTTTCACTGGAATTCTGATGAAACATTTCATTTTCTGAAAACAACTGATCTTTACCCGATGATCCACGTTCTAATAGCCAGCAGTGTAGCTAGTGAAAACATGTACAATATAAAACTACCTGTTTAGAATTATTTTCTACCATGTCATGGGCAATAATCTGCCTCATAACAAAATTGTATGAGTCAAAGGAACTTTTAAAAGTACAGTTGTGAGGCACGTGCTATCGCGCAAAACAACTAGCAACCCACTCTAACTTCTAAACAGCACTTCCAGACCATAATATGTTTTAAACGATAAAAAGTCCTTTTCTCCATTTATGAACAGAAACAAACCAGTTAGCATATCAAGATAATGAGGATACGCTGTTATGAATCATTCGTACTGTATAAACCACGAGGTAACCTATAATAATTGGTTTAACAGGAGTGAACCATAAGTTTATAAACTGGTGGTCAATGAGGTATCTAGGTTAATAAATCAACATTCAAAAAATACTGAAATAGAATGAAATGGCAGCACAGTACTGTCGTTCACCTGGAATAAGGTTAGTGTTGGATCTGCAATCCGATGGAATTCGCATGAAAATACGGTAGTATACTGGTCGATTAAATCAAATGGATTGAAGCGCCATTGGCATGACGAAATTTGAGATTCAATTTCATTAACTTCTTCAATATCTGACTGTTGATCACCAATCTGAAACAATTTGGTAAACAAATTATATGATCTTAAGATTTGAGAATAAAAGCAAAAATATACCGTTCTAGTATAATCTTGATATATTGTAGGTGTGAAAAATCAGTCACTTATAGTTTGGATTTATCTGCATACCTGGATGTATAAAATGTGACAATAGAAAGGTGTTATCAAGAGTTTACCAAGATCATTAAGGCAACTGTCCCTTAATTTTCAGGAAAATTTAAGAAAGATTATCCTTAAAAGTAATCCCCGTCTTCACTTAACAGGTTAATAATGCTAACTGTGGATTTTAATGCAGATAATATTCACTGTTTTCACTGGATTTCACATTTAATACTCTCCACATTTGTAGAAGAATGCCAATATCCCTTACTAGAATAACTCTGAAGTAACACCATTTTAACACATTTGTTTTAAGACATCCGTTAACTAGAAAATACATTTCAATGAAAATATCTCGTTAAAATAAAGGTCTTTTTTAATGAAATTTCATTTTTCACTTCAAAGAATTTTATTATAACCTAAGGTATCTAACAACGAACTCTTAACACTGATTTGAATCAAAAAGTACATAAATATAAGAACCAATACCTCTAAATTCTCACCATCTTCGATTTCGGAAAACACTTCTTCATTTGATGATATTTCCTCATAATCGACATCCTATATATAGAATAAACGAAAGTGTACGTCATAAATTTGGTGGATAATGCTAGTGATGATACACACTAGACAAGGCACAAAAACACTAAATTTATAATGATATCTGCACAGAATATCTATAGTAAGGCTGAAACATAGTGATTAAACTTGATCTAACTACTGTGATCAGAAAACTCAGGTAGCATTTATAGTAAGTGCAATAAACGTAACTCAGGCCATTGCACACAAACCTTGTCAGACAATTTAAATTTGAATATATATATATATATATATATATATATATATATATATATATATATATATATATATTGTTGCAACTAATTGTTTAGCTATCAGTTCAGATAAGCACTGAATACTGACAAAGTATTACTAAAATGCCCCAACTTGCAAGGGATAGCTTCCTACAACGGCAAACAGAATAAAGAACGGACCGGAAAGCTTCATAAAGCTTCCTTAAGAGCATGGTATGCTAATAGTTCGAAAGCAACAATTATATCTAATAACAGCTATAATATATTTTGACTGATCCAGATAAAAACATGATTTTTGTGGAAAAAATATGCTAATTTAAACGGGACGCCAACCAGTAACATACAATGATACATTGAATCTTGAATGAAATATTTTGAAAGATAGTTAGACAGATCATTCGCTACGAAAGTCAAATATGCCTTTCGACCGTTAACTATCGATCCAACGAAATCTGAAGCATTACAAGCCACTTGGAACTTTCTAAGAATGACAGTGAATCTCCGATTACGAAATTAACAGAACCGTCTAAAACAACAAAAAGAAAACGCCGCTTTAAATGGAACCCCTTCAAGCCTTTACAAAACTCCATGGATTTAAGTAAAGTAGCTATTCCGTACACTCTCCAAAATTAAGCGTTGCTATGAAAACTTCAAAATGATAAGGTTAAATACTGACTTCAAATCAAAAATCAACGTGAAGTCCATGAGAATGATTTTATTACAAAGCTTGAAGGATACAAATTAACCCAATACGTCCCTATATTTGAAATATCCTTGACTTCGACGAGCCTACCGTTTTTGAGGTTCATTTATAGGTTAAATAACTACAAATAGAGGATTTCTAGCAAACGTGTTGGTCAAATGGATTCCCTTAATTTTTTAGGAACGGAACTTGACAGATTAAGCACAAAAAAAGCAGAAAATTCTATTACATAGAGCAACTAACAAGCCGGTGGCCACGAAGACATTCCTTTTATACTGTCTCATTGATGCTCACATATGCTAGGAAGGATTATAATCAAGGAGTGTAAAAGATTCAAATGAATGTTTAGCAACATTCCGAGAAACTAGAATATCGTACCCAAAACTCTACAGAAGTAATTACTCAAACATATTTTAAAGGGACTTATCTTTCGCACCTAAATACGTTAACTTACTTCCATAAAAGGAAAGGGACATGATGGATGTGTTAAAAGATGAGAGTCAAGAAATGCAAATGAAGTACTGTTTGACTAAAGGACGCAAAATTCAAGACCGACAATTCCGTCTTGCACATCTGTACACTAATGTAACTGTTTACCTACCAAACACACTAGATAACATAAAGTACTATTTGGAAATCACCGACTGTCATAAAAGTAACGGTTTACCAAAACTTACTTGTATCTCCCCATCTTCATAAATACCAGCAGATTCCGTATTCAATGCCTTAGGATCATCTACTTTCTCCTCCAGTTCAGTCTCTGTAACAGGGAGGACGGAAGACTGATCACTTTCAAGTTGTAGTGAACAAACATTTAGGGTCTGAGACTTCATATAACTATCTGCAGATGTTTGGACACTACATTGTTGCCAATTACTTGGAACATCAGGCTAAAAATAAAAAGACCAACTGAATGAAAACAAAACTGAGCTGAAGAATGGAAAAGTGAAATATGTTCAGAGGAATTTAATTACCTACAAAGTCCAGAAAGTCTAACACAAAAAAGCAGCATAGGATGTGAACAGGAAAATCATGAAAGTCGGGCTAAAAACTTTGTGTACAAACCCATACTTAAGTCTCACAGTCACCCAACGGCAAAAAGACGCTATACAACGTGGCATTTTTTACTTTAACCTTGGACAGTTAAAAATTCAACCACTACATCGACCAGTATCTATTTAAACCTATAAGAGTCTCCACTTAATAGGCTTGTTTTCAGACTGCTGACAAATCAAGATAAACAACAAATTCACAATAACATTCGAGACTCACCTCTAGCTGGGATTTAGTAGTCTAAATAGTCGAATCTTAGCCCTACGAATCACTATTTACTACCTGAATCAATTTTAACAAGACTTACTACGACTCACTCGTTCAACTTCACATGTGCTACAAGATTTTAAATCCCCTCGAGGGCCACAAAATACTAAGTGCTATTGAGACTTCATAACAGTTGTCACAATAGTCAGTCAGTCAACTACAACGTATAACCAGGCACATATATGCATCGGTCCAAGTTGCCATACCGCATTAGCACAGCAAGATGAACATTGGATTCATAAGAGTGGTTAAGTCAATGGTGGTAATATATAAAAGAAAGATTGCATATAAGAACATTGTACACGAAGAAAGAATTAGTTCGTAGAATGAAAGATATGAAGTGATTTTAATCTCTTAGTTTAAGGGAAGACAGTGTATACACCGACGCCATTGTGATCGATTCTGATCCTTGTCCAACAGAGTCTCCAACCATGGCTTAGGATAGTCACGCGGACCCCAACCAAGTAGTCTACACCTACCAACATGGCTCAGACTAGAAGTTAGTGTCTTCAAGCACTGATGCCACGTTTTGGTTCGACCGACCCTAACTTCCTCCCAACCATCTCCAACACCGGTTAGCATTGCACGTCGTGGTAATCGGTGTTCAGGCAAACCATCTCAGTCGATGAAGATCCACAACCTCATCAACTGACTTACCATCATTCCCTAATACCCTGGGTCTAACCTCACTATTACTTACCCGGTGATCCCAGAAGATGCAAGCAATATTTCTAAGACATCTGTGGTCAAATACTAGTAGCTTACGAGTATCTTCTACTCCCAATGGCTATGTTTCGCGGTCATAAAGTAAAACAGAACGAACTGCCGCACAGTATACTCGTCCTTTTGTTGATAGACAGATATCGCGTCTGCGCCATAGGTGACGTAAGTGGGCAAAAGCCAAGCGAGCTTTTCGAATCCGTGTAGAGATTTCGTCAGACACCAACCCATTAGGGCTGATCGGACTTCCAAGATAAGTGAAGTTGTCAACGCGTTCGACTACTTCACTCGCTATCCTTAGTTCAGGTGTTGACACAGACCAGTTCTGAAGCAACAACTTGCATTTAGAGGGAGAGTAGCGCATCCCAAATACTCTGGCATTGTTGCTTAGTACTACCAGAAGACTCTGCATTTTATCAGCGTCTTCACCAAACAGGACTATGTCATCTGCGTATTCTAAGTCGATAAGTGGACTTTCTGGAAGGAGGTCAATACCCGACAATTCAGTCACAATAAGTGAATAAATGATTATATGAGTAAACCGACACTGTAGTTATACCCTATATGCAGAATATCTTACGAAAGACCACATATCTGAAAATCTTGAAAATGAGAAACCCGACTGTTTTTCTTAGTATGATGGTTCATTCAGTAAAGCATTTATCTATTTCCGTATGATGTTTATTCGAGGTGATACTCTTTACAATAACTCTATGAAGTTCGTAGCTTCTATTTCAGCAGTAGTCCTATATATTTCTTCTATATGCGATAAATATTGACTAATCATCACTTGTGAGTAAAATCAACAAACAAATGAACGTATTCATTTATCGTTTCGATTTATTCTGACGGTTAAATAAATCAATATTATCAATTTTTCATGTTCTTACTACGTGTTGTCGGACGTAGGGTTCTAGTACCAGTTATTTATTCTCCAGACATAACAAGGATAATAATTAATTGGGTGGTACTAATTTAAAATAGTTTGCAACAAATATGTCTGGGTAAATTTGGAGCAATAGATAAGCTTTTAAGTAATAGGAACTTAAAGTTCAGTCATGTCATGGAAGTCTAGGTAGTTCCATTAAAAATCCTGGGACACAATAAAGACGATGAAAGTTAAGACAACTAAGTGAAAGATCCTACCAGGCGACAGGGAAAGCCATTTAAGTCCCATAAATACGGTGTAGGAACTGCTTATGTAGCGCATAAAATGCCTCCTACACAGACATAAAAGACTCGAAGCTAACAGAGAGCAATAACTAACGGTGTATTTCCCCTACTCAAGAGAAAATTTATAACGAAATACCAAGAGAATTAAAAACATACCTTTTGTTCCGTCTGAATTTCAGGAATTTTGTTTGGAGCATAAAACCCAGAGGTAGCTAAAGTTTGAGAGGTTAATTTTCCACATACTTGTTTCCACAGCTCCAATTGTTAAGCCCATTGTAGGCGGGGGTATCGAAAGGTTTGTGGCTGGGGCCAGTGACTGAACAGATAGAGACATAGTAGGCAAGCCGAATAGGGCAATCGTCAGTGTTGAGTACATTCCACGGAAAAGTAAAAAGTTCGACTGAATAGGCTTTTTAAAGTAGATGGTATTGATCCCTGTTTTTTCACTGAAAAAGTACCTGTGAAGACAAATATAAACGAATAAACAAAACTCACTTAGCAACACTTTGTAATACAATACAATTTGTCTGGCTGTTGCTGTAAACCGTTATATCGAAAGATGCAGGATTGGTAGCTCTATTTTGTCAGCTGCAAATTTGAATATCGGAATTACCCCAAAAGTGGTTCATCAGATAAGTTACTCTCGACTACAGAACCGAACGGTAAGATGCATATCTTCACCAACTCAATGCCACTCTTAAACCGGACACAGTCTACACTTTCCTGATAAAAAATAATTTAAATTTTCTCGAGAGAATTACTTGAATCTGTCCATTGTGAGTGAAGGTATCAAAAAAGACTATGTATGGGCTTGAAACCATAGTGTGCTTGAAACAGTGTCGACGAAGCCGAATTGCCGCTTAACATGTGCAATGTACAATGTCCCCAACCCGAATGCGAAATTGTTGCTAAGTAAATGAGACGACTGACCAAAACAGTACCTAGAACCCCTTGATCTGAAGAGTTGTCAAGTGTGCGTCTTTTGACGACATAAAAATTCCGTAATCTTCATGATCATGATATCTTATCAATTTTTGTTGTGTAACATTGTACACGTAATTATATTTGCATTCACTGTGAGTTATTTCTACACACTAATTGCACGTAACACTCGAAAAATGTTGTAAACTAAAAAATCTTCATCAGTGAGACATAATCAATCTGTAGCGGTAAATAAATCCCCAAAATAAATAACTGTCAGTTTTCGACATTGGATGCTTTCCACATTGGTTTTAATGGACTCACCTAGCTGAAGGCGCTCGACCATGCATCCGCACCAGATCACGAGTAGGAACGTCGTGCTCAACATCTACTGCAATCGCTAGCCAGATTAGATCAGACGATCCTCGTTATATTGATAATCTATCAACTATATCTTCGAACATCCTCGCTTCTGTTTTGCGATTTCACTTGGTGGGTACGATTCATGATAGGTGTTACTGGTTAGGGAATTTTCAAACTCCGAACACCTGTGGCACCATCACTGTTGAGCCCGACGTGATCTGGTACACCAAATTGCAAACTATGAGTCTGTTCCTTCTCGGGATTTTATATATCATTGCCTTATTTTAATTTTTTGTACATTGTGATATTTTTTCCGTGTTTTGAACGTGTATTTTTTCACTCCTTTATTCTCGTACTTGATATTTCACCACGACTGAACAGACATCAAGGTACTTAAGTTAAAGACTATATCCTCACCTTAGCACCAACTAATGCTCTTCTGGCCGGACAACATCGGGGCCTGGTTCTGGTACGCAGAAGCTGACTTCTCCGAGCACGGCGTGAATGACTCACGTACACAATCCCTCGCAGTAGTCAAGGCACTACTGCGCTAAAACAACAGGTACGTAATACCTAGCATTTTTTCTAGTGATGTTTCTGAGCCCTACGAAATACTGAATCGATCTATCCTTAAACGCGGAGGCCTAACCCATCGACAAAGGTTAGACCAACTACTTAATAACATCGACCTGCAACACGGTTCTGCGACGGACATGTTGCAAATAATGAGAGGTTATCGGCCAAAGAACCTTTGATGGTGGCTTATTCAAACATCATTTCTTATCCGAAATTCCTCAACAGGTGCAAGCTGTGCTCGTATCGTTTCAAAACAACACCGTAGCCGAGCTGGCTGCATCTGCCGACCGCATCTTAGAACTCACGAAATCTTCTAATGTCGAGGTTTTTCCAGTCAAAAGCCCTCAAACGACCCAGAATGACATAACCCCGACTGGTGCTAGTATCATAACCAGTATGGAAAGTCTTCCAGAAATTGCAGAAAACCCTGCAATTTTCCCAGCACGAAACCGACTGACTCGAAAAACAACTCGGGAAACTTCCAAGCCGGCACGTGTTAACGGCAACCGTAGCCGGCGAACATAGCCGTCTGTTGTACGTCACAGATGTGACAACGAGAGTTCGCTACCTCGTCGACACTGGCGCAGAAGATAGCGTTCTCCCAGCGAATCCCAACGACCGGCTTAACGAATCGGTTTCAAATCCATGGGCGGCAAATTGAAAGCCTATTGCCACATACGGTAAAAGGTACGTTTACCTCAACGTGGGTTTATGCAAACCCATACACTTGATCTTCATTGTTGCAGATTTTTCTATGCCAATGATTGGCATAGACCTTCTACAACACCATAATCTACTCATCGATACACGCAAACGGAAGCTAGTAGACGGAAACACCAATCTATCTGTTTGCGCAACTTCTTTTTCTGGTTGCAGGTTATCTCCAGTCACAATTAAGCACACGATAGACCCTTTCTATCAACCACTACTCGATAAGTTTCCTGGGGTACACCAAACGCAACCGAAATTACCATGTGTAACCAGCAATGTTATACATCAAATCACGACTACAGGACCACCTGTATTCTCTAAAACATGACGTCTAGCCCCCGAAAAGCTAAGGTTGGCGAAAAACAAGTTCTACCAAATGATAGACTTATGAATCATAAGACCGTCAAACAGCCCATGGGCATTTCCGTCGCACATGGTCCCTAAAAATGACAGCAAAGATCGTCGTCCAACTGGTGACTTTCGGCGATTGAATGCGAAAACCATTCCCGATCGTTACCCGTTGCCGCACATTCACGATTTGACAGCTACCTTGAAAGGTACAACTGTCTTTTCGAAAATCGACTTGGTTAAAGCGTCCAACCAGATCCCTATGGCTACTGACGATATTCCTAAAACAGCTATCATTACTCCTTTTGGACTCTATGAATTTTCGCGAATGCCTTTCGGTTCAAGAAACGCTGCCCAAACATTCCAAAGGTTCGTAGACGACGTCTCTCGAGGTCTCAACCTCGTACATGTGTATGTTGGTGACTGTCTAATAGCAAGTCCGGACAGAGAATCGCATCTCAAGCATCTGGATCATGTTTTCAACCGACTAAAAAACATGGCATTACTGTAAACATTCAGAAATGCCAAATCGGAACTGACTCATTGGACTTCCTAGGACACACCATAGATGACCCCTTAGAACCAAAGTGGCGGCCATTCTGGATTACCCAAAACCGACCACCATCAAGCAATTACGCACGTTCAACAGCCTTGTGAGTTTCTATGGACGATTCATACCGAAATGCGCCTGACAGGATACCTTCATCATTTGTGAAATATGGGAGTAGGGAATTTCCACTATTTCGTTTGAAACTTTTCAATCTATCTAAGGAATATGGGACCTATTCATCTGTATGGAAAACATCCCTTATCACCCCCAGATTCAAAACAGGATCAGGTAGTGATATTGTTAACTATTGGCCAATTAATTTGACATCCGTGCTCTCAAGAACCATGGAAAAATCATCCACAACACAGCTATTATCATTTTTACTTTCGGCTAGTCTGATCAGCCCATTCCAACACGGGTTTATGACTAAACGCTCATGTTTCACATCGCATCTGGAGTTTTTTGATTGAATTACCCAAAGAAGAGATGTTGGTCAGTCAGTGATAATTCTGTACTTCGATTTTGGTAAGGCTTTCGACAGTGTCTCACACAAACTTCTTCTTTTAAAACTCTTCATTTGGCACACAGGATCCTCTATTATCTTGGCTCAAATCTTTTTTAGAAGAACGTAGCCAAATCGTTCGCTTTGGATCTTGGTACTCTAAACCTGTGAATGTAACCAGTGAGGTTATACGTGGAGGTGGGGTTGGTCCATTACTCTTTCTCCTTTTTATCAATGACAGGTGTTCTCTCTTTCAGTATGGTAAACCTTTCCTTTTTGCTGATGACCTGAAAGTAGTTCATTCCTTCTCTTCTCCCACGAAAGAAAGCTATATTTCAGCGGTAATCCAAGAAGAAATAAACAAGTTATTGTAATGGACTGTTTCGTGGAATTCGCCACTTAATGTTGACAAAAGTGGATTTGTTCACATTGGCCACTGCCTTAACTTAAATCTGACTATACACAAACATACACTCAAACCTCTCAACACTGTTCGTGACTTGGGTTTAAGATATAGTGACAGTCTGAACTTTTCTGAGCACATTAGATCTCAAGTATCCAAAGTTAGAAAGCTCATCGGATTGATAATGATAAACTTCAATAATATCGAATCGAGATTGTTACTATACAGAAAATGTATCTTACCCATTCTTGAATATGGTATTTTAGTTTACAGTAATTACAGACATACTGACCTGACTAAAATTGAAGGTGTTCAACGAAAGTTCACCAAAGATGTCAACAACCCAACTTAGAACCTCTTTGGATCAGACGTATCAAATTAAATCTTATCCTTATCTACCGGCTTATTAACGGTATTTCCTACTCTTTGGTATCCACCCCTTCATAACTTATGATATCATCCCACAATCTACGCAATAAGAAGAATATTCTAGTGATTCCAAGAACCCACACATACTTACACCAGAATGTTTTCCTTATTCGCTACTCAACCATGTGGAACAGACTGCCAGTGAACCTCCGTTGCAGCGAAAGTACAACCCGGTTCAGAAGTCTCCTTGATGATTTTCTTTCCGAAAGTGGATTATGTCACCTATTGAATATCAATGTATTCAATAATGATTTATACAAACAAGGTCCGTCATCCATCTAATTGCCTGAAAAGCAAAATGAAACCTTAGAAACTTTTCATGTCTATTTTATTTTATTCCTATTCATCTTAATATATGAAGTCTGCTTATGTTCGTGTTTATCTTTATTACCGTTATTAATATCATTATTAGTTCCCCAACACATTAGATATTCTTTTTATCTCTTCTTATCCTTCTAAACATATTTAATTCCAGATTGTCCTTTGAAATCAATTGTGACTTTCATTATTGCACAAATATTTATATTAATATCCGGTTTCACTTTGTATACTATTACATAGATCTAAATGTATTTATCCGAGTGCACTAAATGATTTTCATTTTATTTTTCTGAATTGCTGGTTTACTCCTGAGGTCGATATTCATTAGACAATTATTATTCTTATCATGGATGAACCTTTTCACTAGGTGTCCACTTCTTTTCTCTCTCTTCTTTCCCTCTAAATAAATATTATTCTTAAGATAACGAAGTTTGTAATTAAAACAATAACTTGTGTTACACTTAAATTAACTTCTCAGACCCGTTTTACCTTCACTATGCATATATGACTCATACATAATGATATTTCGTTGTCCTTTTCATTTGATTGAGACTTTCATAGCATCACTCCGAACGATAACTGCACAAACATTTATTCTAGTGTCATATCTTACTGCGATAATAAGTTATTTTTTCTTAATTATTTTTTGTTACTAATTTAACGATACACACATAGTCGTTTATTCTTTTTCTGTGTTCATAAACATGCCTATTAAACTGTTTGCATATTTCACGTCTTATTTATTTCTATTCCCTTATTTTTTCCATTTCCTTCTTTAAACTCAATTCAATATTCTCAATTACACATATCCGATTTATTATTATTAATATTCTACTGTTATTACTCTTTTTTTGATATG